TGGGATTTCCACAAGAAAAACCCACTGAAATTTTTGTTGATAATCGCTTAGCAATTATATTGGCGAAGAACCCAGTTTATCATGAAAAAAGTAAGCATATTGATACCCACTATCATTTCATCCGAGAGCATGTGAAAAATAAAGAGGTGGAATTATTGCCTTGCAAATCTCAAGATCAGCTTGCAGATATTTTCACAAAGCCATTGAAAAATGATCTATTTAACAGAATGAAGATAATGCTTGGGATGAAGCAGCATGGAGAATCAAGCTTAACGGGGGATGTTGAAAGTAAGCTTGAAGGTAGGCAGCTACCATGTTTGAAGGTAGGCAGCCACCATGGTTGAAAGTGGATGGCAGCCACCATGTTGAACACATGGTTCCTAAATGGTCAAAAATGGCTGCATAAATTGTAGGCTTTCACACTGTATTATTGTATGCTTTTACATTGACTAGTTTATCTATAAATAGCTAAATGTATCAAGAGTGTTGAGTGTGGGACAAAAGAAGAAGAAGAGTGCTCTGTGTTTGTTTTTCAGAATTTATTTTTGAGTGAATAGAATTTTAGTTTGGTTTAGTTATAAGCCTCTCATCATGAATCACCAACAGTGGTTTGCACCCCACTCCCACTAACAGTATGGCTTGGTTCAAACTCAGGTACTTACAAAGCTGTTAATGTGTATAACTATTTGCACTACTTCTCTTGGCCCTCATTTCAATATCTGTAAGTTCATTTAGAATAAAGATATCTGCCCCAAAATTCAATTCTTCAGTTGGTTGGCATAGAAAGATAGGATCAAATTAGTTGTTTTCCTTCAAAAAATTAGAATTCTTAATATCAATGCTTCCACTTAGTGTATTTTTTGCAAATCAGAATATGAATGCATAGGCATGAAATATCTCATACTTTGAATACAAAAGAAAAGATAACCGTTGCATGAAAAACATTCAACAACTACAGCAAGTGAAACACTTAAACACCATACAATTACAAAAAGTAGAACACTTAAAGAGAATAATGGAAAATATATTCAAAACCTACTGAAACATTTTACAACTTGTTCAAACTATTACAACAATCAAAAACCTATGAAAAATCCTATTTACTTGCTAGAGTTTCATCAAAACCCTAGAAGATGGACGACTAACCACTCATAGAGGAGTGAGAAAAGGTAGAGGAAGTAGCCACCACGGAAGACATCCGTGAAAACTCCAAACTCCTTTCTCTTCCAAACCCTAGCCTCTTATTTTCTTTAGAAAATCTCAGAACCCCCTTTCAGCTTTTTTTTCTTCCTTTTATACCTTTAAGCCTTAAAAATAGGTTTAGAACAATGCACACACAAAATGAGGTACAACTGCACGTGCGGCGAAGGCTCTGCATGCTCGAGAAAAGCCCTCCGTATAAGCGGTTTTTTTCATAATGCATGGACTTCAGGAGAAGAGATCGCATGTGCAGGAATGACCCTCTACAAGTGCGGGTTGACTTTTTTTTTTTTTTTAATGGCTAAACTCTATGCTTTTGCTCATTTTGTGCTTCAACCATATCCAACCTGATTGACATTAAATAATAGTAAAATGTACAACTTGAATCAAGAATAGGGTTAAGAACTCTTAGTTATTAGCCTCAATGATATACAATTCTGCCTTAATCAGCAGACATTTCTATCATTTCCTCATTGGAGGATGCCATCTTAGGAAAGTTTGATCTAATTTTTAGATCACGTTTCCATCATTCAAACATAACACTTAAATCTTTTTTTTTTTTAATCAGACTTAAATCTAACACTTAAAAAAAAAAAAAAAACTCTTTAGTATACTTTTCCCAAGTGTAACACTTCCAAATGCAACACTCCAATGTAACACAAAAAAATTTCTTAGTATATTTTTTTCAAACATAACACTCGAATGTAACACACTAAAAAATTTCTTAATATACTTTTTTCAAACATTATACTCCAACAAATAACAACAATTAAAGAGATTATAATGACAAATGAGTCATTACACATTCAAAATAACTAAATGGATCACAAAAAAAAATTATAGAACTAAGTAGGACATAATTCCAACATATAGAATTTATCGATAACTCTGTCTATAATTTATATTACTTTGTTATTTTGTTGTTACAAAACTTATGATATTATTATATCATTATGAGATTTTATGTCAAAATAATTATGGTATTAAATATGAGTTTGATTGAAATTTAATTAGGTTTTAATCCTTTATGGTACAAATTCTCCTATAAATACCTATATTTTTTTAGAAGTAAAAGGCACAAGAGGAGAAAATGAAATCTGAAAGTTGTTTGAAAGAGTTCTAGGTATAATCTACATATTATTATTGAGTGAAGTCAAACTTTTATATTTTGAGAAACTTTGATTTGTGGCTTCATCCTCTTCTTTTAGTACTTGTGAACACTGAATGAAGAACACTGATTCATTCTAATTGTACTTGCACGAGAAGAAACAAAAATAATTCAAAAATAATTTTAAGATAGCAACAATGGGACTCTGAAACAGGGCGGCCCTGGCTTAAGGCCAGTAAGGTCTGTACCTTATACTTCAAAATTTTGGTCCAAAAATAGGGCTTCCAAATTTAGTAAAATGTTATAGGCCCAATATTTTTTTTTTAAAATCAATTTAAGGAGTCCCAAAATATTTTATTGGGTCCATGTATAGTTGAACCCATATTTATTTGTAAATGTAGTTTGTCCCATATTTATTAAAATGAAAATATATATTTAAAAAAAAAGTGTTTGAGCTCAAGAAGAACAATACATACAATATATGGGCCCTAATTTTATTTTATGTTTTACCTTCTTTATCTATTAGATTTTAGTAGAATAAATAATTTTGCTCTAATTTTTTTATCTAGATCTTTATTAGTTTTAATTGAATAATTTTTCCTAATTTTTTTGCCCTAATTTTGTTTCATTAAATTTTTTTGTTTATAATTTTAATGATTATATGTGCAAGTAAATTTTTTATGGCTACAAATAAATAAAAAATTATAATTTATCATTTTATTTAAGATCTTTTTTTTTTTCTAATGCAAGAAGAACTCCCATTTTTAAAATTCGCCCCAAACCCCTAAGTTTTAGGACCGACCCTGATCCGAAATTTAACAACTGTTATTGTTTTTGTCGTTTTACTACAAACAGATAACATTCCCCTTTCAAATAAATCTCAATCATACAATATTTTTCTCAATAAAGTTTCTTGGTGGTGGGTGGATGGATGGATTTGGGAATTGTGGTGTTGCTGGGGACGCGTTGACTTGTACAAATATTAATAAGCACCATCTTCTACTACCCCACGAAACATTCTCATCTAAACCTCACCGGAGATGAAGAGCTCCTCCGCCATAGTTCACCCCTCACCCACCACCACAGACGAGTCATCGAGACATTTTATTAACAAACGAGTGATTGATTTTACTATGTTCTCACTTTTGTTCGTTGGTTTTCTTTACATCTTAGTCTCCATCCCCTTCAAAGACGACTCTTTGTTTTCCTCCCTCAAATCCCATTACAATCTCTCAACCACGGTAAGCTCCTCTCTCTCTCTCTCTCTCTCTCTCTCTCTCTCATACGTAATTTTGAACATATTGAAGGTCTGTCACTTTTTTTTTAATTTTTTTTTCAAACTCATCTTTGCTTTGCTTGAGATATTTGGGATTTCTGTAGCAATGCATGTAGCGATCTAATTGGAATTTATTTATTTATTTATTTATTACGTATGGGCAAATTAAATCAATTGTTTTTGCAAAAGGGTTTTTTTTTTTTTTTTTAAAACAAACAAAGTGGGTTTGATTCATGAAGTTGAAGAAAAAGAAAAAGAAGAGATTCATCAAAACTTTTTTAATACGGAAAATTGAATCATGTGCACATTCTCATAAAAAAAAAAAAACCTAACAATTATAATCAATTAGATCAAATTGAGAAAAAATTATAAATTTATAATCAAAATCGAATGAATTAAAATTATAAAATTCAAAATGACACAAAAATCAAAATCTAATTGTTTGGGATGACCTAAATAAGTGTACTTTTTGTCTTTTTACAAAAAGATGTGCAGAAAAATAGAGAGATGACGTGATGAAAAAAAGATAAAAAGATAGATTATTTTGGTATTGCCAAACTTGGCCTAAATGATGACGTTTTACTTATGTATTCTGGTTGTAGTGTGCTTCTTTAGATCGATAAAATCTTCCTATTGCCGATCAAAAAAACCAAGAAAAAAAAAAAATTTCTCTTATTTCTCATTCATCAAATCGTCTAAAAATTCAACCTTTATAGCAGTGTTTATAAATTTATTTGTTTACATGTTTTTTTACAGTACAACATGATTGTCTACAGAGATGAGCTTGAGGCAATCTTGGCTGAAACTGCCACAGAAAACAAGACAGTGATAATAGCAGTAGTAAACAAAGCCTATGTTGAAGGAGACAAGTCCATGCTTGATCTCTTCTTGGATAGTTTCTGGCTTGGCGACGACACACGGGGCTTGACAGATCATCTCCTAATCGTGGCCGTCGATCAGACGGCCTATGAATTCTGCATGTTTCTTAAGCTTCACTGCTACAAGCTTGAAACGGACGGTGTAGATTTTGATGCGGAGGAGATGTTTATGTCTGATGATTTTATCAAGATGATGTGGAGGAGAACTCTGTTTCTTGGAGATGTACTCAAGCGTGGCTATAATTTCATCTTCACGGTACGTTTTCAAAATCGATAACCGGCTACTCTCCCGTAGACGTAGGCATTGAGGCCGAACCATGTTAAATATTGTCTCCTTAAGTGTGGGTGTGTTTTTCTGCATGGAATAATTTCTATAAGGTCTTGGGCGGGATCCCAGTTCCCAACACGACCCGATCCGAAATTTAACAACGGTTACTGTGTTTGTCGTTTTACTACAAGCAGATAACATTCCCCTTCCAAATAAATCTCAATCATACAATATTTTTCTCAATAAAGTTTCTTGGTGGTGGGTGGACGGATGGATTTGGGAATTGTGGTGTTGCTGGGGACGCGTTGACTTGTACAAATATTAATAAGCACCATCTTCTACTACCCCACGAAACATTCTCATCTAAACCTCACCGGAGATGAAGAGCTCCTCCGCCATAGTTCACCCCTCACCCACCACCACAGACGAGTCATCGAGACATTTTATTAACAAACGAGTGATTGATTTTACTATGTTCTCACTTTTGTTCGTTGGTTTTCTTTACATCTTAGTCTCCATCCCCTTCAAAGACGACTCTTTGTTTTCCTCCCTCAAATCCCATTACAATCTCTCAACCACGGTAAGCTCCTTTCTCTCTCTCTCTCTCTCTCTCATACGTAATTTTGAACATATTGAAGGTCTGTCACTTTTTTTTAATTTTTTTTTCAAACTCATCTTCGCTTTGCTTGAGATGTTTGGGATTTCTGTACCAATGCATGTAGCGATCTAATCGGAATTTATTTATTTATTTATTACGTATGGGCAAATTAAATCAATTGTTTTTGCGTTTTATGTTTTTTTATTATTTTGGTTCTAGTTATTTCAATTAATCTGATTTTGATTTTAAATTTTAAATAATGTGTCAATTTAGGCCTAGTTTGGTAAGACTAAATAAGTGTACTTTTTGACTTTTTATGAAATATGAGTTGGGTTTGGGTTGAGTTTGAAGTGATGTGTTAGAGAGGTGATATGACTTAAATAAGATGATGTGACTTAAATAGGATAGTGACTTTTTGACTTTTTATCTTTTTTGTCTCATGCCAAACTTGGCCTTAATCAAATTGACAACCCATAAGGGTTTTTTTTTTTTTTTTAAGGAAAATTGAATCATGTGCACATTTTCAAAAAAAAAAACTTAACAATTGTAATCAATTAGATCAAATTGAGAAAATATTATAAATTTATAATCAAAATCGAATGAATTAAAATTATAAAATTTAAAATGACACAAAAATCAAAATCTAATTGTTTGGGATGACTTAAATAAGTGTATTTTTTGTCTTTTTACAAAAAGATGTACAGAAAAATAGAGAGGTAATGTGATGAAAAAAAATATAAAAAGATGAATTATTTTGGTGTCGCCAAACTTGGCCTTAAATGATGACGTTTTACTTATGTATTCTGGTTGTAGTGTGCTTCTTTAGATCGATAAAATCTTCCTATTGCCGATCAAAAAAACCAAGAAAAAAAAAAAATTTCTCTTATTTCTCATTCATCAAATCGTCTAAAAATTCAACCTTTATAGCAGTGTTTATAAATTTATTTGTTTACATGTTTTTTTACAGTACAACATGATTGTCTACAGAGATGAGCTTGAGGCAATCTTGGCTGAAACTGCCACAGAAAACAAGACAGTGATAATAGCAGTAGTAAACAAAGCCTATGTTGAAGGAGACAAGTCCATGCTTGATCTCTTCTTGGATAGTTTCTGGCTTGGCGACGACACACGGGGCTTGACAGATCATCTCCTAATCGTGGCCGTCGATCAGACGGCCTATGAATTCTGCATGTTTCTTAAGCTTCACTGCTACAAGCTTGAAACGGACGGTGTAGATTTTGATGCGGAGGAGATGTTTATGTCTGATGATTTTATCAAGATGATGTGGAGGAGAACTCTGTTTCTTGGAGATGTACTCAAGCGTGGCTATAATTTCATCTTCACGGTACGTTTTCAAAATCACATCCCGTTTGTTGTGTGTTTGTCTTCTAAAAAACATACTCTATTTTTTTTAAGGCAACTGTGATAAAATAAAAAAATTTGTAATCATCAAATTGATATAATTTTTCTATGAATGATATATATTTTACAAAATAAATTATTTATATTATCAAAATAAGATTTGTAATAAGCCCAATGAGTCACTCAAATTTTGGGGTGCAACTCGAGTAGGTTAGGCAGGTTGAGAGGTTATCCAAATCCAATTCAAATTATGCTGAGAGATGTCTAAGCTCGAATTGTAAGTCGATGTTGTCTCCTAAGTTTAATCCGAATTAAACCCGAATTGTTTAAGTTGCCTGAATTGTCCAAATTGCACATAATTTTTTGTTTTTCTTTATTCTTTTTTTAGTGCAGCCAAGTTAATTAATTTGTTAAAATTAGACTATTTACAATCTTTTTTTATAAAATTATTAATGATATTAAAATAAATAATTTATATAATGTAAGAAAAATGTCGTTATGATGGCCTTTACCATTTATGAGTGAAAAAAAAGTAAATAAGTAAATATTATACTGAATTACTTGTGTATAAAATATATATTTAATATGATCTAACGATCTAAATTATTTTAATATTATCTAATAGCTAATAATTTATATGTATATTTAATATTTTTATATATCTACATATATAACAATTCGGTCTTCAATTTGCTCGGGTTGTTGATATCTTTATCCAAGTCGTCTAAATTTAATTTGGATTTCTAATTTTTGACCAAGTTATACCAAATTTAAAAATATTTTATCCAAATCTTAAAATATTTCAAACTAAACACAGATTAGTCGAATTAAACTCACCCAAATTACACAACCAAGTTAAGCTTGAGAGATACCTACTTTTGTACTTGTAAATGAAATATCATGATCATTGCCATAGATAAAATTGATTTTCTACCTATTAGATTAAAGAGTCTTTGGTTCGTATTGCTAAACTATTTTATACACTCCCTCCGTATTAAGATAGTAATTTCTTATTTTACTTTTTATTGTCTTAAAATTTTAGTCTCTTTTTTAAAAATTAAAAACTAAAATAACATAATTTTTCTATTTTACTCTTTTTTTTAAATTCATTAATATTATTTTTGAAGTGCAATAATTGTAAATGTTAGTTTTGAAAAATTAATATTTTTGAAATATAATAATTGTACTATCAAATGTTAGTTTTGAAAAATTAATATTTTTTGAGTGTAATAATTGTACTACCAAATGATAGTTTTGAAAAATTAGTATGTTTGATTTGAGTTTTTTAGATTAAGTTTTTTAAAAATTGAGTTTTTTTATTTTCGTGTTTTTTTGTTTTTAGTGAATATTTTTAAAATTTTAAACATTTTTTTTAACTTTTTTTAGATGCACATTACTTAAATGTATCTAAAAGTAAAAAATTTGTGAAAAAATATTTTTAAAAATTAAAAAATACATAAAAATACAAAAAAATGTACTGAATTTTCGTTTTTTTTTTTTGTATTTTTGGTATTTAGTGAATTTTTAAAAGGTTTTTTTCATAATTTTTTTACTTTTTAAGTGCCCATGATTTGACTCATTGTTGATTTTCCTCTTGGGATCTCATACCGTTTTTGTGATATGGTAAAGGTAAAGTTATAGTCTTCTAATATGGGCAAGTGAGTAAAAGATTTGTAGTAAAAACTCTTCATAAACCTACATCTGTTAGACTATGTATCCAAAAGTTGGACAAGAGAAGCTTGTTGATCTGTTGTTGAAAAAATCTCTCTCTCTCTCTCTGTTTGTTGATGAACATGTTGATCAATTGGTCGGGGAATTTCGGGGTCGGGGAAACCCGATCCCTGTTAGGGGACGGGGACGGGGGTGGTTATGGGTTCCCCGTCGGGGATCGGGGCCAGGGATGGGGAGATTTCCACCATCGGGGATCGGGGACGGGGAGTGTGATCCCCGGCCCCGCCCCGCCCCGTTGCCATTCCTAGTATTAAGATAGTAATTTCTTATTTTACTTTTTATTGTCTTAAAATTTTAGTCTTTTTTTAAAAATTAAAAACTAAAATAACATAATTTTTCTATTTTACTCTTTTTTTAAATTCATTAATATTATTTTTGAAGTACAATAATTGTACTACTAAATGTTAGTTTTAAAAAATTAATATTTTTGAAATATAATAATTGTACTATCAAATGTTTGTTTTGAAAAATTAATATTTTTTTAGTGTAATAATTGTACTACCAAATGATAGTTTTGAAAAATTAGTATGTTTCATTTGAGTTTTTTAGATTAAGTTTTTTAAAAATTGAGTTTTTTTATTTTCGTGTTTTTTTGTTTTTAGTGAATATTTTTAAAATTTTAAACATTTTTTTTTTACTTTTTTTAGATGCACATTACTTAAATGTATCTAAAAGTAAAAAATTTGTGAAAAAATATTTTAAAAAATTAAAAAATACATAAAAATACAAAAAAAATATACTGAATTTTCGTATTTTTTTTGTATTTCTGGTATTTAGTGAATTTTTAAAAGATTTTTTTCATAAATTTTTTACTTTTTAAGTATATTTATGTTAGCTATATCTAAAAAGTAAAAAAAAATACTTAAAATATTAAAAAAATTCAGTAAAAACAAAAAAAAAAACACGAAAAATAAGAAAGTAGAATTTTCTGAAAAGTGTTTTTTGAAAAACTTAACCAAGCAAATAGAATATTTTTTAAGTATAATGATTGTGCTATAAATAATAAGTTAAATTTTTTAAAATGAACTAATATTTTGGGATGTGTGGAGTAATTGATTCTCTAATTTAAATAGGGTAATTATAAATAGATCTTAATAGTTAAACTTTATTCTCATTAAGTTCTATTAAAAGTTAGTTGTGGTAAAATCCTTGCTAAAAAAAAATTTTGTGACGATTTTTTACATGACGCTACAAATTAATAATTAGTGAATTTTTTTGTTACAATTTTTATAAGTTGTCACTAAAATTTACAATTAATGATGTTTTTCTATGACAATTTTTTTGAATTGTCGCTAAAAGTTTTTGTGGCAATTCTTTTAAATTGTCACTGAAACTTATATTTAGGCCTCGTTTGAGAACATGTTAATTTAGTAACTTTTTTATTATTTGGCTAAAATATGAGTTAAAAAAAATTAGAATGTTTGGAATGACTTTTTGACTTTTTACGAAAAGATGTGCAAAAAGTAGAGAGAAAACAGAATCTTTAACTTTTTAGTATGAGTTGTTGACTTTTTGGCTAATTTAGTAACTTAAGGTTCCCAAACGAGGCCTTAGTGATATTTTTTTGAACAAAATTTTCAAACTAGTGTAAAAAATTAATAATTAATGACTTTTTTTAATAATATTTGATAAAAAAATATTATTAATTATCACAAGACCTATTGAATAATAAACTCACCTATTAAAACCTACCTGTCAATATCACATTTAAATATTCTCCTACCGATTACGTATTGAGGGAAAAAAAAAAAATTGATTTTATATTCAATTTAAAAAAATGGTAATGTTTGATCCTCACGCCTTAGAAAAATTATTTGATGCTCTTCCTACACGATATGTGTTTGTGTATTATATCATGTTTTCTGATATTTCTTAATCAGCTAAGAGGAGATGTTGCTTTCGTTGGTTCAAAGATCAACTACAAATAGGCACATGACAACATAAAACTTGTTTGACTTTCACAGTTATTGATCAGTAATAAAATATTCAGTAATAATACATCGTGCATTTTGGACTTTCAATTTTTCGGGCCTCAATTACATGACAAACACTTTTTAGATAGTTTTATGTTTTAGTGAAATTTCTAAGTAACGTTTTTCTGTGAAAGTTTTTTTTGAATTGTGGTTAAAATTTAAAAATTAATAATATTTTTTGTGATAAAATTTTAAATTTTTAATAAAAATTAATAATTAATGACTTTTTTAAATAATATTTGATAAAAATGTCATTAATTATCACAATACCTATTAAATAATAAACCCACCTATTAAAATCCATACGTAAATATCCTATTTAAATATTCTCCTATAGTTTACGGTTTGAGGGGGTAAAAAATTGATTTTATGTTCGATTTAAAAATGATTAATCATGATTAAGAAAATGGTGATGTTTAATCCTCATGCTTTGGGAAAAACTATTTGATACTCTTGGGACACGACATTTTTGTATTCCTCATTAATTATCGTATATCATATTTTTTATTATTTTTCAATCATCTAATATAAAATTATAAATTTCACATTTTCAACAAAACATCACACGCCTAAGACACCACGTAATCATACAAGGACCACCAAATAACTTCGCCATCCCTTGAGTTTTCGTTCCTCGGACGAGGAGATGTTGCTTTCGTTGGGTCAAAGATCAACTAGAAATAGGCACATGTCAACATAAAACTTGTTTGACTTTTATGAGTGTTGATTTTTGACCACGCAACCAAACGAAAAACTTAGCTGGAGAGTATCGACAAAATAGATTAAGTCCGAACAACCTGTCACAACAAGATAAGAATTCGGCGATGGTTCTTCCACCCGGGACACTCCGATGATTAATTGAGTAATCAATATCTCTTAATGATAACAAAATGTGCTTAAACTCACAAGAAAGAACTTATTATTCACAGTATATCACACATACCTGAGACCCACAGGGTGCCCTGTTTTTATAGCCAACACTAACCTAATCCCTTTAGAAGCCTCACTTCAGTGGACTCAGGCTCAATGCTCATCTTGGACTCTCAGCTAGATAGGGATAAACTCCCTAAGAGTTTTATTTTTATTCAGACTGGGATCCTCCTCTATTCTAGAACTCTTGTCCCTTATCCGCCCATCTCGGATTCCGGTATCTCCGCATATAACCACGGCCTAGCCAAGGTCATCTTGGCGCATGACCAGGCCATGTGGCATCTCAGCTGACACTTCGTCGTCACCGTGGCCACGTGCTGTTATTCACAAAATATGTCCCTACAACTGCCCCTTAGGTTCTATTACCTCGGCAACTTGAGGTGATGGAACCTACATCGTTTATTTATATATTATGTCGGCTAAAATTCATTTTTTCCTTCGACCAAGATCATGACTCGTCGGTTTCAAGCACCTAGGACTCAACTGTCCATCTTTATCAAGGATCAAAAACCAAGAATCAAGTTCTTTAAATATCTCAACTGAGATCCCTCTTCTAGCCAAGGTTATGGTATCATTATTTCAAGAATTTCAAGAGTTCTAACTACGCATGAGCTGTTACGTATGGCCTTTCCAACCATTTCGTACACATGTTCCATTTTCATTAGGTTGTACCTGACACACTATATGAAGTCACGTCGATTCTGTCCACGCCGCCTGACAGGCATGTTGCTCAAAGCACCATCAAAACATTTTTGCCACCCTTTCGTGTTTTAACAAAACTCTCTCTCTCTCTCTTTCTATCTTTTCACTTCATAACTTTGACCTCCCTATTTCTCTCAAGCTCTCTCTTTCTAAGAAAACCTCCATTTTCATACCTTCAAAGCTTTTTGCAACCATGCTCCATTCCGTACCTCCGGCAAAGCGTTCACGTCTGTTTGACTCCGGCAAACCTTACTTCAGCATTCTCATTTTCGGGCCCATTCGGTAAGTCCTAAATGTCTGTCCTTTAATGACTTTATATATATATATATGCTTCACATCGCATCTGTTGCTGTGAGACTTATATCTGTATAGTTGTACTTTATTTTTTCATCATTTCAGAATGCCAAACGTGTTTGTTTACGATTTGTGCTATTCAATCTACATGTGTGTCCATATACACTGTTCATATATTTGATACTTTAACAATTTGTTATTGCTCTTGACTTTCGCACATTTGCACATACCTACTTAGTGTTCTTGAATCTCTGTTGCTTTCTTGATTCTGGTCATGTTCTTTTCTTGCTTTTCTTGCTTTGTTTCCAGATTCTTGTCTTTGATTCTTGTTTCCCCATAGACTTAGGTTTAGGATTTGATTTAGAACCCTGTTCTTTAGGAAAACTAAAACAAGATCCCTTTAGATCTTCAAAATCCTCGCACCAGTGCCTTTTTAGGATCTAGCTGAGGTTCTAAAACCCCTGCCAGTGTTTTTTCCCCAAAGTCCTTTGCAAAACACCTCTAGCCGAAATCATGGGCATGTTTAGGTGGAGGTAGACACCCCGGCCAAACTAGAGTACTTCCGACATGAGTTCTCCATCCCAACCGACGTTCAAATCAGGTTGGCGGAGAAGGAGGATTCTATCATGCCTGATGGAAACTCCATGCCCTTCCATGTAGTTGCGTTTATAGAGTGTGGACTTCGATTCCCTTTAGACATCCTATTTTGGGAAGTTTTTCACTCTATAAACTTAACCCTATGCAACTAGCCATCAATTCTTTTAGGATCATCAACGGTATCGTCGCGCTAGCATGCCGACAATATGCCAGAATTACCCTTTCTGATATCTAGTATTACTACATCATGTGTAGCCTCAAAACAAACAATGGCTACACATACTACCTCAAGTCGAGATCTACACAATACAAGTTGATAGTCGATATCCTAGACTCAAATAAGGGTGCGGGGGACAACTATCTAATTGTCTCGGGCAATTGGGAGTTTGTGCCAAACGACGAGCTCCACCTTTTCCCTTTGCACCGAGAAGTATTTAGAGATGATAAGGGTAAGGACTTAGTCCCCCCAAAGTCCCTTCTTTAAATTACTTTAGCATTCTTTCTGTTACTCTGTTATAATGTTCTCTTTTTATTTTTGCAGCCCTTAGCCCGAAAAGAACTTTCGCCAGTACTACGTACCGAGCAAAGGCTTGGTTCGCCTTCTCGGCTTACTAATTGAGGCACGCAAAGCTCCTATTCTTCTCAACTACATCCCTACCTATTGCAGTCCGTTGCCCGACGTCCCCAAAAGAAGCCAAACTCCACATTCTGTCACAACTCCTCTAACAACCTCATCTCTAAGGCCAGTTCAGGCTTCCTCATCCAATCCTACAGGCCAGCCATCCACCTTGGCCACTCAGTTAATCCTCCCAGCTTAACGTTAGCGCCAACTCTGAGCTCTTCCAAACGCTCCCGCCGGCAGAACTCACAGTCACAAACACCGATGTACGATCCAACAAAACCCTCCAATCACTCTGTCAGCTATTCATTTTGGCTCCAGAGTCACCGTCGCCCAAAGTCAAAAGAGTGAAAAGGTCCAAGGCCAAAGCCACCGCCACCGCCACCAAAATTGAATCCGAGGACACAGTGTCGATTTCCAAATTGGTCGAAACCGAGAAGACTACTTCTGCGGCCGAGAAGAGGCCTACCGAGGCTGAGCTATCTGACAAACCTTAGAAAAGGCCGAGGTCCAAAGGTGTGACTCCTCTTGGTGCTTTCCCTGCCAATGAGCCCTGGGTTCCAGCAGTCAGGCTTGGAGAACGACCTCTGCTTGCCGGCGATAGTGCCCTTGACTCTGTGGAAGTTGGTGTTGCCATTTCTACCACCGTTCTGTTACCGGCCGACCTCAACCACATGGCCGAGCTGACAGAATATGAGAACTATGCACTAATGATGCAGCATTGCGTCCTGATAAGTCTCTTTACTTTATCTTTTAAAGTTTTCCAATACTTAGCCAAATTTTACTAATCTGTTTCATTTCTTACAAGCCATCCAGTAAGGGTCATTCTTTGGCTATCAAGACTGAGGAATTTAAGAGGGAATTAACCAAGAAGACTAAGGAGGCTACCAAGCTCCTCTTTTCGCTTTACCAGGCCAAGGTTCGCATCCGAGGTTTGCTGGACCAAGCCAAGGCTGCTCAGGCTACACAAAACAAGGCCGAAGACCGCGCTGAAGCAGTTGAAAACGTTCCTACGGTAGCTAAGGCCGAATTAAAAGAGGCCGAGGAAAAGATTGTCAAGGCCCAGAGTGAACTTCAATCTGCGCTCGCCACGAAGGAGGCCAAAATAAAGCAGCCGACGAGAAGGCTTACGCCGAGGGTGGCAGTCTATCAGAATATTCTGATAGACTTTTTCAAATTTCTAGAGAAATTAATATAATCCAAAACTTAGTTTTTCAAAGTTAATGATGTGGCAGTCTATCAGAATATTTAAGACACATCTCTCTCTCTCTCTCTCTCTTATTTTCCCTAACCATTAGCCAATCAATTCTATTACACATCACTAAATTTGAAAAATGAGTCTAAAAAGTAAACTTATATATATTTTTTTAATATAATTTGCCCTATCAATAATACTTTTATGGGACAATAAAAAAAAAAAATCATTGGATTTGAATATTATAATAAAATAAACATTGATTTTTTTAATTTTGTCAATTTAAACCTTAATATTTTGATTCATTTACAATTTAAATCATTTGTCTATTTTTGTTAACTAAAACAATAGAAAAATAATATTTTACTTGTTAATTCAACGTAAATATATATATAATATCTAAAACACTATTTTTTATTGAGGATGACTAAATTACTATTTTTTCTATTGATTTTATTCGATGAAAATATATAAATAATTTAAATTAAAAATAAATAAAAAATTTAAAGTTTAAAATTTAAATTGATAAAATTAAAATTTTAAGATTTAATTTATTACAAGAGTCAAACGTTAGGAAAAAAAAAATTGGGTGGTACGCTGGTAATTTCCCTAACTTTTGAAGTGTTTTGGAAAGTTAGTAAAAAGTTGACTTTTTAAACTTATTTTGTCTTTTTATGGATAAGTTATATGGAAGGTGATGTGACTTAAAATAACTAAAAAGTTAGAAGTTAATTTTTTACCAACTTCTCAAAAGAACCCTTTATTGAAACTCACACGTATTATTCAATGTTACATAAGGTGTAATCCACATTGTGTGTTGTATTATAATTGAAGAGGGGGCTATAAGTATAACTGTCTAGATTATTGATAAAAAAAAATTATAATAATATAATTTTATCATTTTTTTTTAAACAATTAGATTAGTTTTATTTTTCTGAAACCAAATCAAACCAAACCTTAAATTCTATCAAATAGAGTCGATTATATGAATATTTTTTCTCCACTTGATTCTGTTAGTCAAATTAAAAAATTTATATATCTATTTACTATACTAACCCACGTGAATCTATGTTTGTCCTTTCCCCTAATGCTGTATTTGGTTGAGGGATTTGGATAGGGAAAGGGAAAGGGAAAGGAAAAAAATTATGTGAAATTAAGTGAAATGTAGGTATATTTTATTTACATTTCACATAACTTTTCCCTTTCTCCCTCAAATCCCCCAACCAAACACAGCGTAACACTTCCATCTACCGTTACTGTATCACATATATTCAGTACTGCCTCTGTTGATCTCCGTTGTATATGATCAAATCATCTCAATCTATTATTTTCTATCAGTATTACTCCTACCCATATACGAATATACTCATTCCTGACTCTGTTTTTCCTAGTCTTGCCACACATTTATCATAACATCCTCATCTCATGTTGTTTCTTAGCTGTGTAACATTCTGTCTAATACAACATCGCTGGTCTAATAATCGTTCTATAAAATTTTCCTTTTGATCTAGTTCATGAACAAGCTCAAGCTCGGCTCGTTTAAACTCAATTCGCTTACTAAATAAACAAGCTCAAGCTTATATTTTAAGATCGTTTAACAAACAAGCCGAACCGAGTATAATTTAATAATATTCGGCTCAATAGGTTCATGAGCTCAAATTATGTATATATATATATGATTATATAATATATACATAAATATAATTAACAAAATATTGAACTTCCTAGAAAAAAAATTTCTATTATATATGTGTAAATTTATTTTATAAAATTTAGACTGCACAAGTTTTTTTTCTATAATATATATGCGTACATATATATATATAGCAATTTTGGAATTATTTGCTTCACTTGGGTGGAGAAACAATAGGCCATGTGGGGGAGTTTTATAAGCACTCATCTTGACCACACTTCTGTCTTGGATCGATGTGGGACTCTCTTGTCCAATTCCTCTCAGCAACAAAACGACGTCGTTTTAGTGTATTAAATGTCAAACAATTTTTGTCCCACATCGTTTCTACACAATGGTGTTCAGGTAAAATGATCTCTACTTATGTGTAGTGTAGTAGGCTTGAAGTCTTCCATGAGTTTGACTTGGCTAACGAGCCACAACGAGCCGAGCTCGAATTAGACAAATTTTATGCGAGCCGAGCTCGAGCCGATATGCTTGGGTTCATTTCGAACTCGAACATCTTCAAAATAATTCGAGCCGAGCTCGAACATTGATAAACTCGGCTCGGCTCGATTACACCCCTAATTGTACAGTATCCCAGATGCATTTCTTCACTTAAGTCACCTCGCCTTAACTTTATGGATAACATTCGCTTCAATTTTATTTTACCGAAAACAAATATGATAAAATTGTGTGATTATATTTTTTTGGGTTAATTACACACACAAAAAAATGTTTCCCGTATTTTTTTATTTTAAATGTGAGGCAGGCAACGGAGAATCATTTTGGGATTTAAAGTGAAAAATGAAACCTTAAGTTTTTTTTTTGTATAATTAACATTTTTATAAAATTAAAATCACTAAAAAAAAATGATTAATTACAAAATAAACCCCAAGGTTTCACATGTTTTTTACTTTAAATTTTAGTATTTTTCACTTTCAACCCCCTCCATTACCTTACATAGACATAGATAGATGGAAGGGGCACATTAAAACACAAATGAAACTTTAGAGTTTAATTTGTCGAAATTGAAATACTGAGATTTAAATTGCAAAACGCGTAAAACCTTAGGATTTTTTTTAATTAACCCTATTTTTTTTTCGAGCAAAAGAAAATAAAGAATAGCAAATTACAAGCAAGATTTACATCAATAAATAAGAAAAGTGCACAAAGCATCATAACTTAATTTTAGAATCCCAATTAGGTTAGCACCGGAGAGCAAGTACAATCATATGTGAGCACTTGAACCAAAGATTGGTGAGGGACAAATCAAGGAAACAAAACAGAGAACGAAAAAAACAAAACAAGCAGCAACAACTCTGATCTGGGCCAAAAACTCCTCTGCATTAACACCATCCTGTGTAACACCTAGATCACACACCAAACTACACACAATAGCAAACCTATTTCAGGTTTGACAAAATAACATGCACAAATTAATTTTGTGTGATTATATTTGTCTAATTAATTAATTAACTATCATTTTTTTATCTCCACACAAACTCAATTGGATGCTCCATCTACTATAGTAGATTGGAGAGAAGCCCCTCTCATAATTGAATTCTATCAAATCTATGTTAAGGATTGTATTATAAACCATAACCAGTTGATTTATTGATCTGTTAATGACAGGACACTGATGTAATGTGGTTCAGGAACCCATTTTTAAGGCTGAGTCCAAACGAAACTATAGACCTACAAATCAGTACTGATAAGTTCAATGGCAATGAATGGTCACAAGCAAACAAGATTAACACTGGCTTTTACATGATCAGATCGAACAGCAAGACCATTGCATTGTTTGATGCTTGGTATGCAAAGAAAGACAACTCCTCTAGAATGACGGAACAAGATGTCCTCGTGATGCTCATGCACGAAGGCCTGTTTAGAGGTTTAGGGCTTAGAGTGAAGTTTTTAAATACCCTCTTTTTCAGTGGCTTTTGCCAAACTAGCAGAGATGTTAGGGTTGTGGTGACAGTCCATGCTAATTGTTGTCGCGGTATAAGCACCAAGCTGACTGATCTAACAGCTGTTATTCATGATTGGAAGAGGTCGAAGAACTCCTCAGCCAATGAGACATCCATGTTTGTATGGTCACAGCATAGGGCCTGTATAATTTCCATGAGACATCGAGGATAACTACTTTAGGATCATAGATTTGCTCCAGTTGTGTTGTGTGATCTGAGATTTTTTTAATTTTTTAATTTTTCAGTTTTTTGGGTGAGAGATGGTTGGCTGTGATTTTAGAAGATAAAGGTTAGATTTCTCTTCTGATCAAATAGATAATGTGATATTGAGACTACAAGAATTGAAAACATAAGGTGACAAATACTTTTACTTTATATTATGCTTTTTCATTTTTGTTATATGCAATGAAATTCAGTTTGTTCCAGTGTAGACTCCAATTAAGCTGTCAATTATTACAACTTAAGTGTTTTTTTTTTTTAAAGTTGAATTTATATAAACAGGTGAAAAGAATAACTGGATACTGATAGTAACAAGAGTGATGAGACACATCGATATATTGCAACTGTGTAAGCGCATCTCTAATGATTTGCTATTGTAATTATCAAGAGCCAAGGTTCTCTCCTTGCAGTCTCGTACTTGCGCTCGTTCTTGCAGGCCTTCGGGCCTACTTTTAGGCCCAATTTTAATAATTCGAACCGTTCATGTTTTATGATTTATTCAGTATATCATACCTGTAAAAAATCAAGTTGATCGGATATCAGAAAGCATATGTTCGGAAAACTGTTTATTAAATTCTTTAAAAAATAGTTTTTAGTTCAATTTTTCGAACACATACTTTCTGATATCCGATCAACTTAATTTTTTACAGGTATGATATACTGAATAAATTATAAAATATAAACGGTTCGGATTATCAAAATTGGGCCTAAAAATATACCCGAATGGGCACTTTTGAAAAGAGCTAAAAATGTCAACTTTTGATTTTTTACTTATTTTGAGTTATATCGCCTCTCATATTTTTTACTTATAAAAAAACAAAATAGACTAACAAAGTCAAAAGCTAACTTTTCATCAACTTTCCAAAACACTGCAATATAACTGTGTGTGAAAAATGGTACCCCGAGAATATGACAGCTGCCAAATGTGTAAACTTAGATAAAACAAACCATTTCCTTCTCTAATTTTTTGCAAAACCAAATTCACCATTTTTTAAAAAAACCGAATTCACCAAATTTTTTAAATAATTTTTTTAAACAAAATTCAACAAAGTTAATCTCACACAATTTGAATAACCTTTAAGTAATAAATCCCTGGATTTGCCATTTATTGTTCATATTTCAGACGATTTCAGCAATCATCTTCTTCGTCTTCATCTTTTACATCATTCTTTGTGCCCATTGTTTATTTTTAAACTGGGTTTGTGAAATTTCAAACAAATCTTTGGTTTTCTTGCTTTAATCTGGAAAGAAAACTAATTCTAGGGAGGTGGGTTAGTTTTTCTAAGAATGGAAAGTTCTAGAGGCATAGAGAAGAGAGTGTCCGAAGAGAGTTTGGAGGATCAAGATGAATTTCTACTTATATATTTCTTGATTATGTTCATGGCATTGAAGAAAGAATTGAAGAGAAAATCAAGAGTAGAAATGGAACAAGGGAAGATGAGGGATAAGGGATGAAGATGAGGGATGAGAAATGGAACAAGAGAGTGATCGGTGATGAGGGATGAAGAGAGAGAGAGAGAGAGAGAGCCGACTGATCAAAATGAATGGAGAGAATGAGAGAGTTGGGATGATCATCAATCAAGAATATTCCATAGTGCACATCTCAGCCGTTGGATTATGCAAAGATCGAACGGTGAAATGATGTCTTGAAATGCAATTTACTTTTCAATTAAAGCTTAATTTTTTAACGTTATTATGAAAAATGCAAAATTGTTAAAATGAAGGCAATGTTGTAAATGAAGATAATTTTATATTTATTAAAAAGACATTAAATGGTGGGGTGAGTTATATTTATATTTTTTTAAAAAAATTTAATATTTTATATTTGTTTAGTCAGGTAGAATGTAAATATATAATTTTTTTTAAAAAGGTCATAAAAGACAAAAAAATAAATAATTGAAAAATCATTTGAAAAATCTATATCTAAACAATACCTACAAAATTGGAGGGAAAGTTGGTTGAAATTTATCAAAATAACATATCACAATTGGAACACCATTACTATAATTTGACAAATTATTACTATTTATTGTCAAATTATAGCAATAATAATGTTATTATAACATTTGTTATTGGAGATGTTCTAATAGATCATGATTCATGACTCTAATACATTTTTGAAGAATCCTGAGTGATGACATATATTGAAACTTGACTTGTTTTAGGAAGTAGGTTAAAAATTGAATTTTTGACTCTTTTAAAAAAAAAATTTAAAAATATGTAAAAAAAAAAAGCTAATATGACCTAAAAAAGTCAAAA